TGAATAAGAGCAACAAGATCCTTAGCGCCTTCATTTCTTTGAATTTCTTTCAACATCTTCTCCGCTTCCTTTAAAAAATTTTAAATGAGTGAAATATAAAGTGACATTGCTTAATATGAATTAAGACATTTTTTTATTCCATTTCATGCTAAAGATGTAAAATATTAGCGGAAAATGCACCTCTTCTTCACGTTCTGCCGCTTTACGACGTTTGGCTTTCTTTTTTTCCGGTTCAGAAACAAAATACCGAGTTGCCTTCAATTCTCCGGATTCAATCATATCACTTATCATCTTGTGCAAACGATCTTCATCTTCGTATGTAACACCAATAATATCATTCAAAATTTTTCCCATGTCTCCTTTGTGTTTCATGTAAGCTTCTTTAACTGCATCACGTTCTTCGCCAGAATCTAAAGTACTTTAGCTGTTACAGTTATAAAGATTTATGTCCTCTATACTCAACGATGCTCACCGCATTAAAATGACTTCATTCTCATTCGTATTAAGTCCACTTTAGCAATTTCTCTGTTGAACGCCCTATCATAGTAGGGCAGAAGAAATGATGAAAGAGAGCCCTAATAAAACCTCTGAATTTTTGTATGAAGTTGTCGATATCCTCCTTTGTTATCTTCTTAAATATCAGTCTCCATCTAGCAAGCCAGTCCACATCATCAGAGCAAATTTCATCATCATCCACAATTCCTGTAATGAAAGATTTATGATATTAAAGTGAATTATATTATGAAAAAAAAAAAATGAAAGGAAGACAAGAAGACACCTGTTTCATCATAAACAGCTCTCTTTTGTTTATCACTAAGGACAGCATATGCACGATTCAAAATCTGAAATTTTGCAGTTGCTTGCACCTTTTTTATCTCATTATCGCAACGATCAGGATGGAATTGCAACGAGAGTTTGAAAAATGCTTTTTTAACTGAAAATAATCAAATAAATGAAGTTCAGAAAGCAACGAATCTATGGGAAGACTCAGCTACGCCCCAGTACATCGTAAATGGGTTTGAGAACATATAAGCATTTATATGAAACATTTTTTTGAAAATAACTTCCGTAAATTTTCCAATTACCTCCCTTATTTGTATTCAATAACCAAATAGTCAATACTAACAAATAAACTAAACGACTACATCAATCGACACAAATTCCTAACAAAAATATTCCCTTCTTCTATGTAACATTACCACAAAATCATTGTCCTGATTCAAAATGTTGCAGAGAGTAATAGTTTTGCAAAGTATTCATTACAAAATAAGCTTACTGTCTGCTTGGCTATAATCTTTTCGTTTTGATTTTGATCCTTTCAAGTGCAAAATTTCATAAAGATCTGTCGTACCAAATAGACGCTTCGCATCATTAAAAAATGACATCTCTAGAATAATTTCGATATACTTTCCGTTTGAAATTACTTATCGCATAGTTTTGAACAGTTCGAAACTGATAAATAAAATGCATCATGACTCACTTTTTTTATGAAGGAATTCATGAAAATTAAGCAAATCTAATACGATTTCTGACTATTCACGGGCTTAATCCAAGAAAAGTGCCAAATTCTCGGCCCGACTAGGAAAGAATCAACAGCAAGCCATTCCCGACCCCGCGCTCGCCCCCACCCCCAAAAGCTATTTCAAATAGGATCCATTAAAGAGCTTTCCATTAAAAGAATATTTCATCTCCGTTGCATGCTATTGTCTATGAAACAAAAGAAATTTTTAAGTTGAAAACTTTGTTTAGAAGGTGATATCATTAGATCGAGAACAGCGCAGACTGTTAAATTATTCATTATCATCTGTTATGTTGATCTATGTCTTTTTCTGTTGTATTTCATATTTTGTGCTCCAAATCTTTAAATAAACACTATTGTTTAAGGTGTAAGTGCATACTTAAACTAGAAGTTTTGTTTTCGATGAGTTCAAGTGATGATAATGGTAGTCGTATACAGGAAGTAAAGATCATAGCACCGATCAATATAGCACTGGTCAAATATTGGGGCAAAAGGAATGAAGTATTTGTTTAAATTGATATTATGAACAAATCTTTTGATGTAAAAATAAATTACTGTACCTCCTATATATACTTTATTTAATAACAGAGAATTCAGTGGATATGAGAATGTTCAAAAGATTCTTCAGCAGAAATTTACTTCAATCTTCAGCCTGAAAAAGTTGCTAACAATCTTTTGTTCAATACTGCACAAGCTTTAAATATTTAAAAGATTTATTAAGATATAATATTACATTTCTATTAGAAATTGATATCTTTTTATTTTATGTATTTTCAGGACCTTATGCTTCCACTGAACGATTCTATTTCACTTTCTGTCAATGATGTTTGTGCGAAAACGATAGTGCGGGTAGGGCCATCAATTAAGAAGGATTCAGTCACTATCAATGGTTCAACTGTCTGTTTTTCAAAGCACCCGGGATTTCTTCGATGTTTTAGAGTGAGATTATTCGTTTTTATTTGATCTATTATTCATAGTTCTTTGGAATGTTTTTATTATGAAAGTAAAGAAATTCAATTTAAGGAAGTGAGAAGGCTAATTCGAAAACGCTCCATCATATCAAAGACTACAGGGAAGTCGGAGAAACAAGACTACTTCAGCAAATTTGAAGTCACTTACTTTCTTCATTATATTAAAAATTTAAAGCACAGATTTTTTCACTAAGAATTTTATAATTGCTTTTGGCATATTCAGATAAATATTATTTGCTTTTACAACTTTGTAAAAGTTTTTGTTCTCGGGTCGCTTTTTTGTGCTTAAATGTGATGAATTTTGGTTCAGAAAATTGTTTATATTTGGCTGTTTCAGATTGTCTCCGAAATAAGTTTTCCTGTTCAAGCAGGACTTGCTTCTTCAGCAGCCGGTTTTGCTGCTATTGCATATGGTCTTGGGCAAATTTATCAGTTAACTACGAGCGACATAGTTCGTATTGCTAGAATGGGTAAATATGTGGTACTTTCCACCTTTCTGCAGTTTTAGTTTGGATTATATCGTTATATATTCTGAATAATTATATTTTGTGTAATTTACCAGAATAATATTTTGAATCTGTTATTCATATGACTAAGAAAAGGATAGATTTATCATTAAAATTATAGATGATAATTTAATCAAGATTATAATGCTTTTGAAGTGGTTAAAAATGTAATTATGCAGGTTCTGGAAGTGCATGTCGAAGTATCTTAAGTGGTCTTGTACATTGGAAAGCAGGTGCTGCAGAAGATGGTTCTGACTGTATTTGTGAAGTCTGTTTATTTTTTTTTTTCAATTTTTATCCTATTCATAGGCTTTGATATTCAAAAATAGAAGATTTTAAAGAATAGTTGATGTTATTTTAAGGGAATAGTCATAGTTGAAGATAAAGAATGTGTCATATATTGATCAAATAAATTTTATGATGATGGACTGATATCATACTTCCCAACCAAAAGTATCGACCAAATAAATTTTTTCAGACAGTTTTTCCAGAAGATTATTGGCCTAATTTGAGGTCGCTAATTTTGGTAACTTCACATGATGCAAAGAAAGTTGGTAGTTCTAATGGGATGCAATCAACTGTTAAAACTTCAAAATTATTGCAAGCTAGGATGGATATTGTGCCTAAGCAAATAATGAAGTATATTCCGGACATTTTTCATTAATATGAAAAGCGTTTTAATAATGCCTAGTGCGATTCTGTCTGACTGTGATACATTTTAATCAAACTGTTGTTTTCAATATGCTTTAATTAAGAACGTTTTGACAGGAGGAATATTGCAGGTTAAAAAATGCTTTTCGCGATAGAGATTTCGGGAAATTTGCCGAAGTAGTAATGTCGGACAGTGGACAATTGCATGCTTTATGTATGGATACAATGCCATCTCTCAGAGTACCTTTCCAATTTCTTTTTCAGTTATTTTTCAAAGATGATACAAGGGAGCTAGGAGCAAAATTTGTGGCCATCGGAAGAGGTGCTGAACTGCCAAATTTGGAATCACGGTTGTAAATTTTAGATAATTTGAGTTATAACTCTCTGAAAAAATGAAGTATTTCTTGATTATTTTGTAGCTTGTTTTAAATGTACAAATTATAAGCACAAGACTGGATTGTGTTCGCTTTCAGAGTATATGAAGATCACTTTTTCAATTAAAATCAACTTAATTACAGTCATTATTGTCATTATTCCCATAGCTTTCAAGTATTGAACAAAAATAGTTAAAGATAATGAAATTTTTTGGCCAGTTATATATGAACTAATCATGTGAAATACTTAAAACATTTATTAATTTAAGTATTTGAACGATAACTCCTGGTATTTTATGCGACTTATTCATGCCCTGAACAAGCACTGCAAGAGCACGAAAGTAGCCTATACGTTTGATGCTGGCCCGAATTGCTGTTTATTCTTGGAATCCATTAACGTGCCATTAATTCTGGCTGCTATCAATAAATATTGCAAATTACAGTCTGATCTTATAGGTGCGTTTTAATTTATTATTCTATAACAAAACAGAAAACTTTGTTCCTAAAACCCAACTTTTAATTTTACGAAATAGTTCGATAATATATTAAGAAGCTGCTGAATTTCACTTCAATTTTCAGTACATTATAACTTACGATAGAGTACATGAAATGTTTTCATTCCCTAATGACGCATTTTTGATTTACTTAGTTTCTGCTAAAGCCTCAGTTTGATGAAGCAAGAAGTATTTTAAACTTAAGTCTTAAACGAAAGTGTGATACGAGAATGAATGAATTCTATTATCTTTGAATTATTTGATTCATGGGGTCATTTTTATGTACAAAGAATTTCGTGAAAAGTTTGAAAAGTAAGCATCTTGTAGTGCAAGAGATCATTTGCAAATTTCTGCATTAGATTTATCGTTTATGAAATTAATAAAGTACCACAACTATTAAGGTACACGACATTTTAATTTGGTTGCACTGTTGAGTAGTTTTTTTCTGAGACAAACCATTTTACAGAGCAGGTAACAGTATGTTCTGCTGCATGCGAATACAAAAATTTAAAAAATTTGATAAAAGAGGAACAAGAAAATCTGGTGTTATTCGAATCTATGAACGGCGAAGAGAACAATGAGATTGAACCGATGGAAGATGCTGTCAAGGATATTTTTCTTAGTTGTGTAGGCGCTGGACCAGTGATAGCAGAGAGAAGATAGGCAGATATTTGGTGATGTTGTACTTTTGTTAAAAAAATCTCACGACTTCTGTGATCATATTATGTAAAAGATACGTGTGCGGTAATTTATTAAATTGAATCATTTTCAATTGTTCGGCGTTTTTGACGAATGTTTAGATCTCATTTTATATTTTATTGCGTTTACAATTATCCTCAAACATTGAAGAAGACTTATTTCCACCTCAGCATTTAGTATTTTTTTTGATAATGTCTCATTATTTTTAGCTAGAAAAAACTGCGAGTTATTTTTGGGATTTTTTCTATTTTTCCAAAAAAAAAATGCTTGTTAGTGTATCCTGTGTATTTTTAAAGATCTCGCAACTTCCCTTTTTCATGCATGATATTAATTTTGATATAAGGATTTTGTGCCTGAAATATTAATAAAGTAACCAGTGAAAAAAAAAAAATAAAATGTAAAACCATAAGACAGGATTTTCAACTAACCTATGAGATAACAATTACAGGAATGAATGGGGCAGGTTCATATCTTCTAAATTTTGAAGATTGGGAATGGCTTCCGACTTCAATCAATTTTAGGCATTATTAATAATATCACTCATAATTATTCTATTACTTATTAGCATTAATTGAGATAAATGTTTGTTTTAATCAATCATAGAGTTCTTGGAAGCACTGCATTTATTGATTTTATTTTTGTTATTATCAAGTATCTAGCACTATTGATAAAAAGAACTGAAAATATATCTTGAATTAAGCATTTTATTTAAACCATAATGATGAAAATGACACAAGTAACCAACAATATTTACAGAAGAAGAGGTATTGAAATGGTTTGGTTTCAACACTGATTATGGATGCGGTGTACACTAGAAACTGGAAGGCATTCTTGGAGCTGAAAGTATTTTGTATAATGATTCAGGTATTACAGCTGAAGAAGTTTCCAGAAGACCGAAAAAGTGAAGCGGTAATGAAAGTATGAGATTTCAGTGAATTAAAAATATTCGGAATGCTCAGTAAAGTAAGATAAAATTTACTTGGACAATGTTTGCAGGTACCGCTTTCTCCAGGTTCACCGAGAGCACCATGTTCACCCATTTTTCCACGTTGTCCTTCTGGTCCCGGTTGCCCTGCCTCTCCGGGTAATCCGGGAGGTCCTGGGAAAGATTGCCCATCTGGTCCAGGAATACCTTTCGGACCAACTGGCCCTTGTGGACCTTGAAGACCGGGTGGTCCTTGTGGTCCAGTCATGTAAATGATTCGGCCTGGTGCTCCTCGAGTTCCCGGTGGTCCAACTCTTCCAGGTCTTCCGATTGCTCCAGGTTGTCCCGGCGTGCCCTAAAAAGTATCACTTAATTTTAATAACTAATAGAAAAAAAAGTTTTAATTTTTTTAACCGGTATAATTTCTTGAGCAATGAATACAACTTTTCCATACAATTTCTCTTTTCGCTAATGTTTTCATAAATTGGTAACAGCGATTTTCATATAGCATTATTTCATAAAAAAAGGAGTGGTGTGGAATTCATTGTTATGCATACCGTTTCACCATGTACTCCATCTTTTGGTGGATCTCCTGGTGTACCTTTTGGTCCCGGTGGGCCTTTTGGTCCCATATTACCAGATATACCAGGACGTCCTGGAGGGCAAATGAGGCAGGTATCGGCATGCAGTGCTGGTTTCAAATGACTATCAGCTCCATTTTTCCCATCTTTGCCGTCTACTCCATCTTTGCCATCATTACCGGGATCTCCTTCCGGTCCAACAGGTCCTGCTGGTCCCTAAATTATAAAAATGTTAACAAAATATGATTCATTTTAAACACTCAGTGTCATCTTTCTCTCTGCCATCAAACCTTATTCTGTGATGTTGGCATGATTTTGTAATACGATATGTAATTTAATTTAACCTGGTTGCATGTACAGCAGGTATTCAGTTCTGTATTAATTACATCAGCAGTGGTATATTCATACTTCTGTTTACTTTTTTCACTAGTTGGCATCCAATGACCAAACATCCATTCACGTTTTAAACGTCTGACACTTGCCAGTTGCAATCTAGACATTTCGGCAAGCATATTGCGTGAACGCGACTGTAAATTTGTTATCATTCAAAATTTCAGTTCTTTTCACAATGTTGAAGAAGTGTTTACAATTAATTTTGTATAGTTCAAAGGGATTATTAGTGATTGAAAATCATGAAAATAAAGGAACTGAGAAGATTGAGATTAACACATAATTTCTCAAGTAACGTAGTCGCTAATATGCATACACACGTGGAATGTTAACACTTACTCAAGTGTCTCTATTGTTCCTGAATCATCATACGACAGGGAAATGAGATCGGTTTTAAATGTTCAGATATATTTCACTTTCTTATTGATATGAACAGAAAACCTTACTTTGCAGTATTCTGTTTCATCGTTAATATGACTATGAAGTGATTGAACATAAGAATGCAGTGCAGGTAAAGTAATTACTGCAGCAATAACAGCTAATGTTGAGAATGCAACTGCAACAACTGCTAATCGACGTAAATGTTGCTGCTCCAAATTTTCTTTGTCGTATCCTATCAATATCGACATAATTTAATTAAACCTGAAAAAGAAAATAATAATTTTGAACTGAACCTTTTTTTTGTCTCAATTTAAAATTTATTTTCTATATAAATCATGGAATAACAAATCATGGAATTCTAGTGCTTGCTAATTTAATTATAATAATTATGAAGTGATTTAGATAGTTAATTTAAATGCAGCTAATAAATATAAATTTAGGAAAGTTAAGTTGATCAAATGTTATCAAAAAATTAAAATTAATAGGATTAGATAAATTTAACAGAATTAATCTGTTCAATTATAATAATCTAAAAGTGAGTAAAAATTTAAATTATAATCTCATCTATAGATATTTAAATAATTGTAAAGAGGTATTTATTAATTAAGGTCAGATGAGAACAATATGATGAGATTAGAATTAATGAAATGAGGCATTAATAGCACCGTCCATTCTTTCAACCTCTTTAACAATGCAACGGGTAGTGCTGGCGATGACTGACTATTCGATAGTATTGTTACCCTCTGAGTGGACATTTTATTCTGTTGCAAACTTCATTTTTTCCACTTCGTTTATATTACCATTCTGTTTGCATTGTATGGTATCATATCGAATGCATCCCACCTCTTCGTATAGTATTTCAAATAAGATTTTTATCGCTCTCTTAATGGATATGTTTGACATTTTAAGAACTCTCTACAAATGATATATTTAAATGTAACAAATTAAAACTGTTTGCTAATGTATCCCTAATATCAAAAAAAAAAATCAGAAATTAATAATATGAATTTGGAAATTTGGATTAAATAAAAAGTAATATGGAAAGTAAAATTATCACTAAAGATTAAAATGGCGAATGAAATTATCAATAAAAAATAATATAGAGAATGAAATTATCGCTAAAAATTAAAAAAGAAAGTAAAAGTATCAATAAAAAAATAATATGGAGAATGGAATTATCATCAAAAATCAAAATGAAGAATGAAATTGTCAATATGAAACTCAAATACATTAAAAGGTTAGCATGAGAAGATAAAAGAATATATGAATGGAAGAAAAGCATAGCAATTGTTACTGTAACCCGCTTAATCAGATTTGTTTATGCGAGATACCGAAGAAAAGGATTGGAAATGGATCATAATACCAAGGATAAACATGAATCTACGATATTCTATAAGTAATCTATCGAGAATTTAAATGTTGCATGCATCATACGGCCATAACTCTCTCTGAACATCAGGTGGATCTCTTTATATTGAAGCATTAAAAGAGCTTTAGGATATCATTTAAAAATTATTCAGAATTATTCCATCCTGTCTATTAATAGCATAGCATCATCTCAGTTCAATCAACGAACTTTAATTTGATTAAAATTAAAAAACTTAAAATTAAAATAATTTATACGAAGAAAATAGTTTATGACCTACTTCAAAGTCAATTGTTTTCTCCAGTAATCATTCCTAATTCGTTTAGTTTCTTTTTTCTTTTTTGCAAATAGCAAAATGCTAACATGAATTTGTTGATTACAATTTTTTGAATGTAAACTCAAGTATATAGTGAAATTCTCACATTAAATGATAATAGAGAATTATGTTATCAGGTGCTTTGTAAACAGATAAAAGTAAGCAAGGTCATTTTACGCTGACCTTTTATATTTCATGGCATTTTGTGTGTATATGTGTGTGTGTGTGTTTTTTTTTGAATACTATATTATACTTTTATTTATTTTTTATAAGACTGGAAAATGCAATCTTCTTTTAATTGAGAACGAACATCTGTCATTGATCCGAGAAACTTTTCAATGTATGAGCACAGACAGTGTCATGAAATTATTTTGGCGACAGCATACCGGTTACAAATGCAATCAAAGACAACAATTTGCTGCTCATTTCGGTGAAAAAAAAAAAACTCGACATTAATAAAATTTTACATTAATGAAATGTTTAAATAACCTGTTGCAAATTTGATTGAAAATTGCAAAAATAAAAAAAAAAAAGATTAATTTTTACTGAGAACTTTTTTAATACTTCGTTTCATACTTTGTTTTTTTTTTCTTTTGGACAAATAACGTTGAATGAATCTTACAAAAACTTCTAAAACGGATATGATATTAAAAATAATTTGCTAAGGAATTTCCTTCATTGCCTTCTACAATAATTATCATTATCTTCTAAATGTATTAATAACAGTCAAAAATTGGAATATTTCTAATTCATTATTCGAATTTAGTTGATGATTTAGTTAAACCTCTTCACATTTTATAAAATTTTCTCCAATGTGTAAGAATCATGGAATTATGTTGATCTTTTAATACTTACCAAAGTAGGTCTGTATTTTAATTTATCTTTCCTTCCTTCCAATTTCAATTTTGTAATGATAGAATGAGTGTGCATTATTAGTTAATCAAGTCGATCCAATGCAATTGAGGTCTGTCTTTGTATGTGCGTGTGTGTGTGTGTGTGTGTGTGTGTGTGTGTGTGTGTGTGTGTGTGACACAATTTAAATTCTAATTGAAGAAAAAAAAGGAACATGAAATAAAAAACAAAAGATAACTGTTGACCTGAAAGTATCGTTTGACCCTTATGACCACCTACTTGTGCTCAGCATCAATACCGTTTTCCGCTTTTGTCTCTTCCACATATCAATCGTTTTTCCAAATGATTTTAGAAAGTACTTTTGTCATTTTCATTCCTTTTTAGCTCCATTTGAATGATTGCAGACTTCAAGACGGCTATTTTTATCATGCGGCAAAATTGAAAGAAAAAATCTTGTCTAATTTATTTTACAGTTGCCTTTTAATAATTTTTGGTTCTCGAAAGAAAACAAATTTTTTTCCCAATAATTTTTTATAATTTGTTTGCTATTTTTTGTCCCTTTTTTTGTTCTACAAAATAGATAATATTTTCTAAACTGTTGCAACTCTTGATTATAAATTTACTGAAGTACTATGAATTGCACTAAAATTGTATTCAGAAAAAGAAATTTATTAATTTGACTAGCTCATTTTATTTAGGGAATAAAATAAAACTATCCAAAATTTCATACCATCACGTTTGAATGATTGGAAAATGGTAAAAGATTTGGAGCACGATGAATATCGTCAAATGCGACGGATAGCATTTCTTGCAATTGTCGTTTCAACCGTTGCTGTTATTTCAACAGTGATTACTTTACCAATGCTTTATAGTTTCATTCAGACATTAGAAAATCATTTATTGTTTGAAAGTCATTTTTGCAAGGTAAAAATTCCATCAATTTGGAAATGATTAATTGAAAATCAATTTTCTCATTTCACATAAACTTAATGAGTGTGCATGTATGTGTGTGTGTGTGTGTGTGTGTGTGTGTGTGTGTGTGTGTGTGTATGTGTGTCAAAATGTAAAATAATTGTGTTGAAATGTAAAATAATTGAAAATAGATTATTGAATAGAATTGGAAAACATATTTATTGATTTGGCAGTAATATTAAAGGATAAAATGTTGAAAATTTAATGAACCACAGATAAATGTTAATTGTTAAAAGAGATTGCGTTTAAAAGAGATTTCGAATAACGTTGAAATTAATAAGAGAAATTAATAGTAAAAATGAAAAGAAAATTTGAATTTTCATGCATATTATATTAATAATATTTATAGTATGTATTTCTAGTCTCGATCAAAGGATATGTGGTCCGAAATTACAGCACTCCAGATTGGTAAGAAATTTTTCAGTCGCATTAAAAGAGAATGGTCATTCGGTAAATGGACATCGGTTAGTTCTTACCAAGATATTGGTAATGGCTATAGTACCGGTAGTAATTATGGTGCAAATCCAATTTCACAAATTAATGAACCGGACCGGATAATGAGTGGCAATTATGATTGGCAATGCTGTACGTGTCATGCGGTAAATCATTCAGTCTGTTTTTTTTTTTTTGATAAGTGAAAAAATAAATGAAGCAATTAAAAATGGATTAATTTATAATCCTCTCTATTTTTTTCTAAATACTTTGTTAACAATAAGATGCGAGAGTGCAAAACATATTACAATTTTCAGTTTGAAATTCTATTTTCTAGTCTTAATAGTCAGCCGTAAAGAGACAACAGAAACCATTTGTTATTTGAAATGCAACAAAAGATTAAATTTTTTAAGGATTCAATTTATTTCATTTGTTATTTGCCAACGTGCATTTCCGCACATTAAAAAAATAATAATATGTTCTCTAAAAATATCATTTAGTATTCAAATTTTCATTTAAAAATTCGATATGATTTGCGCGTGTTAATTTTTGGATAAGTTGCATATTTGAAATGAAAATTATAGGGTGCAGCAGGACCTCCCGGTCCAGAAGGTGAGGAGGGAAAAAAGGGAGCGGATGGATATCCGGGAAGAAATGGGAAACCGGGAAAGAATTCGAAAATTCTTCCATTCCCTTCAAAGGAGAATATTGAGGAGCAAGAAGCATGCATGTTTTGTCCACCAGGTCCTCCAGGAAATCCAGGTCCTATGGGTCCCAAAGGACCCCCGGGTCCTAAAGGAGCGCCTGGCAATCGCGGAAATGATGGCGAAACAGGTGAAGAGGTTAGTTTTATAATTTTCAAAAAAAAAACACAATTCATACTGTTTGCAGGTAACTTATTCGTCAATTAGATTATTAGTAAAAGAAGATATGGAAAAATTTGTAATTTCGTTTCAGGGGTTAGCTGGACAAGCGGGACTTAAAGGTAAACGAGGACGGCCGGGAAGACCAGGTATACGCGGTATACCAGGACGGCTAATTTATATACCAGGACCCATTGGTTCAGATGGGCCAAAAGGCAACTTCGGTGATTTGGGTCCAAAGGGTCTGCCTGGTGTCGAAGGTATCTCTTACCCAGGTCCACCTGGTGAACCAGGTGATGATGGTAGGAATGGACCAGAAGGTAAACAAGGCTTACCTGGATTGTTAGGTCCTGCGGGTGAGGATGGTGAACCAGGCAGTTGCAATCATTGTCCAGGTAAACAATTTTCCCCATCTGATTTATAAATATTTTTCTATACCAACAGCTCTAAAAATTTCAGGAATAAATATTTTTCTATATTAACAGTTCTAAAAATAAATAGTTGAAAATAATTGATTAATATTGAACTTTTACAGCTCCGCGATTACCGCCAGGATACTGAGATCCGAAAAAGTTTTCAAAAATTAAACAAAAATTTGTTTAATTCATATTTCCAAAACTATGCTGCACTACCTTCAGATATCAGATCAATTGTTCATTCAGTCATGTATTTATTTGCAAATTTTTGTTGTCAAATGAACCACCCACTGATGAATGTTGTTTTGAGTGATAGAGATAGGTTTAAAATTAAAAAATTTTTCAGATGTACAAAAAAAAGAAGAAAAGATTTTAATTAACTTCAGAGATTTCTGACAACTGTATTGAATTGTTCATTATTTCATCGTATGTTTTTTTTTTGTAAGTAATGTATTTATGCTTTCCAATTTTTCCAGTTTAAATTTGATAACTATTTATTCACAATTGTTTTTCTAAAAAAAAAAGAAATTTTTGGAAGTAAATTCTCGACGACTTTTTGTACAGTTTATGAGTGATGTGTTTATTTTATCGGGAGATAATTTAATAGAAACTTATGATTTATTAGCATAATTTAGCTGAAGGTTAAAGTCAGCATGTATTTTAATATTATAAAAATTGCTCAGATTGGATTACTATTTTTGTTATGAAAAAAAGAAGCGACGAAAATGTTTTAATTTTACAAACGGAAACAATTACACACACATGCACAAAAAAGGTTTTGCATACAAAAATTACAATTATATATCAATAAATTGAATGTAAAAGATTTGAAAGTTTTAAAATTTCCGTAAAATTTTAATTTATTATTCAAAAATCAATCCGTTCGATGTGAAAACTTTCTTTCTTATCCAATAAAATATAACAAAAAAAAAAGCAATTATAAGTCAACAAATGCTATGAAATTATGGAATAAAACATAACATTGATGACAAATTGATACATTCAAAAGAAAATTACAGTAACACATTAATGAAATTTGGTACGTTTAAAACAACTAATTATATAACTTTCGTATTAGTAAAAAAATCATAATTGCTAATCAGCTTTGACGTAAATTTAAACGTAAAATCGCTCACAATTAGATTTCATATTTGAATATAAATGAAAAATAATAGCTTCTTATAATCTGATCAAAAAAAATACGTAAGTTTTTCATTTCAGAAGAAAAGTTAACTAAAAAAGTGGTCCAATGATGAAGGAGAAAAAATAATTGCAAAACTGACAAATCCAATAAATACATCCAAAAAAAAAAAAACAATTACTTTATTTTAGCAATGAAAAGAAGGAAATTATGGGAATAACAAATATGACAATATTATTGCTCGTTGTAAAAAATGAAATAGAAAATAATAGAAAAATGGTTAGAAATACATCCTAAAATTATTTACAACAATAAATCCACAAAGGTAGATGAAAAATATCAACACTATTACAAACCAAAAAATTATATCCCGTCTAGAAAATCGATAAACTCGGAAAAAAAAATTTTTTTTTCAAAAATTACCGCAAAATTATATTTGCTTTTTAATTGCTTCATTTTTGATG